CACAGAGAACTAAGGCTTAGCTACAGCTGTTCACTATCACCAAGAAGACAAGCTTGAACAGTTCCTAACTTATAGATATTTAGATTCTTGTGTTTAACTAATTGATTAACAAATTAAAATAATAAATTAACAACTAAAGATACTAAGAGTTAGAGACAAGATTAAGGAGGTCTAGAGTTATGATTTCCCCAATTGTCGGAATCCTTCCCGCTATGTCTTCTATAATTTCGCCTAAGTATTCTCTACCGATCATGAGCACTCTTATTACCGTAAATCTCTCCCGAGTAATCACGACAATTTACTAGACGCACTCTCCCGAGCTACGCTAGTTGGCTTTTGATACAGCTCACTTCAGATCGCACCCAGGGCTTCGTTATCCCTAATTCCGCCTTTAAACCCTCTNACCGCGGCCAAACACCCTCTCAGATTCTTCAGTTGTCCGCGACTGCGCTCTGCCGCGGTTCTGCCGCGGTCGCGGTTTGTTTGGAATTTGGAAAAACGTAAAACATGAAAGTTGTAGCCCTTTGAGTTAGCTTTCCAACCATATATTGTGGAGCCCAAATGGAGTTCTGAGAAAAAAGTTATGTCTATTTTACTAGACAGTGCGCAATATGCCTCTTCGAGTTTTCGTTTTGTTGTTTTATCATCCGTTGATCCCCGAACGCGATCCCGGCTTAATTCCTTGAGCTCTTACTCAGACTTCAAAGCTCCAAACCACTTAAATTCATTCCATAACATCTATATAGCTCGGAATCACACCTACAAGGCATAAAACACAAAATTAGTGCAAAACACTAGCGATTAAAGCGCAAACTCAACTAAAGTGCAGTAAATTAGAGTGTAATAATCGACTAAAATACGTAATTATAGCCTATCATCAACGGGTTTTCCAAGGCAGTGAAATATTATGTCCTTGCAACAAATGCGCTAATTGTCAATGGCATTATAGAAATGTAGTAGAGGATCACTTAGTTTGTTATGGGTTTATTCAAGGATATACCAAATGGATTTTTCATGGGGAAAAGTTTTCCTCGAGAAATAATCCACATCCAAGCAATGATGATGAAGGTTCCAACATGCATGATAATATCGATGGACTCCTTCATGATACTTTTAGAAATGTTAAGGGTGACATGAGGCATGAAGAAGGAGTGAGAGAGGGACCATCTGAAGATGCAAAGAGATTTTTTAAATTAGTGGAGGAAGGAAAACAAGATTTATATCCAGGGTGTGAGAATTTTTCTAAATTGAGTTTCACCATTCGATTGTTCTTATTCAAATGCATTCACGGGTTGAGTAATGTGGCTTTTTCAGACTTGTTAAAAGAGGCATTTCCATTTGCTCAGCTACCCGAATATTTCCACAAGGCAAAAAATTTGATTCAAGATTTGGGTCTTCATTATGAAAAAATACATGCTTGCCATAATGATTGCATGCTTTTTTGGAATGAAAATGAGAAGAATGATAATTGCTCTGTATGTGGAACTTCTAGATGGAAGAATGTTGTTGATGGCTTGACTAATGCAAGCTCCAAAATCCCTGCAAAGGTTTTAAGGTACTTTCCCTTAAAGCCTAGACTTTAGAGGATATTCATGTGCTCTGAAACAGCTGCAGCTATGAGATGGCATGTTATTGAACGACCCAATGATGGGAATTTAAGACATCCTGCTGATGGGGAATCTTGGAAGAATTTTGATTTCTTGCACAAGGACTTCTCTCGAGATCCACGTAAAGTTAGATTGGGTCTTTCAAGTGATGGTTTTAACCCGTTTCGAACCATGAGCATTTCTCATAGCACGTGGCCTGTTATGCTAATGAACTACAATTTATCGCCGTGGATTTGCATGAAGCTGGAGTATATAATGTTGTCAATGATTATTCCAGGTCCTTCTTCTCCAGGAAATGATATAGATGTGTACCTACAACCACTAATTGCTGAATTGAAGGAACTGTGGGAGACAGGGGTAGAAACATATGATGCTGAAGCAGCCTTGTTATGGACAGTTAGTGATTTTCCAGCACTATCAATGCTTTTCGGATGGAGCACTAAGGGTAGACTGGCATGCTCAACTTGTAATTATGACACATGCTCTCAATATCTCAAACATAGTCGCAAGATGTGTTACTTGGGTCATCGAGCTTTTTTGCCTCCTGATCATCCATTTCGAAGAGATAAAAAATCATTTGATGGTAAGGAGGATCACAAAAGAGCACCTACTCCCTTGTCAGGTGTAGAAGTGTTAGAAGAACTGCATGATTTTAATCATATCTTTGGAAAGGGTGAAAAGAAACAACGCCGAGATAATGAGGGTCCGTGGAAGAAAAAATCAATCTTTTTGAATTACAGTATTGGGCACATAATAAATTGCGACACAATCTTAATGTAATGCACATCGAGAAGAACATATGTGATAGTTTGCTTGGGACTTTATTGGATATGCCTGGAAAGTCAAAGACCACGTAAATTCTCGCTATGACTTGGAAGAGATGGGGATACGAAAAGAGCTTCAACCATTAAAAGATAAGGATAATAAAAAAGTTTATTTGGCTAAAGCTTGTTTCTCCATGAAGCCAGAAGAGAAAAAGTTGTTTTGCACTGTTTTAAAAAATGTCAAATTACCAAAAGGGTGTGCTCAAATATATCACGGTGTGTGGAAGTGGAGGAAATGAAAATATCAGGGTAAAAGAGTCATGATGCTCGTTTTATCATGCATTACTTGCTTCAGGTTGCCGTTAGAAAAGTGTTGCCCAAGAATGTTTCTTTGGCCTTGATTAGGTTGGGGAACTTCTTTAGAGCCATATGTAGCAAGGTTATAAAGCGAAGAGATCTTGATAAAATGCAATCTCAAATCAATGAAATTGAATGTGACCTTGAAAAGATCTTTCCTCCAACTTTTTTTGATATAATGGAACATTTGCCTATCCATTTAGTAAATAAAATTAAGCTTGGGGGTCCGACTCATTTACGTTGGATGTATTCTATTGAGAGAAACTTGTGTAAGTATAAGGAATTTGTTCGTAACCGATATCATCCAGAAGTTTCAATAGCGGAGGGTTTTTTGGCCGAAGAGTGCTTGATATTTTGTTCGAGATACCTACCTGATGAGGTGAAAACAAGATTTAGTAGGTATCAAATAGAAGATGATGTGGGGGCTGAAATAGAGGGAGATGATTTGTCACCTATATTCCCTAAGATAGGCCATCCAATTGGAAGTAAGAAGAAAAAGAAAGGCAAGGCATTTACCATGGATCTACAATTATGTTTTGAAGCACATCGATATGTTCTGTTCAATACTGGAGATGAACAAATGGAGATGTTTATCCAGTAAGATAATTGTCATTTTTAATATAAACTTTATTAATTTATTTATATGATATGATATTTTATACTTTATCCATAAAGGCCTAATAGATGTATTTGAAATATACATGTTTGCAGGGAACATAAGAGTTTAATTGATAATCATACTAGATCAAATGCGTAGATTAGAGCACGCAATCATAGTCAGAAATTCGGCAATTGGTTCAAAGAGAAAGTTAAAACTGTTGAAGTGCCCAATCATTTACGGTGGCTAGCTAAAGGGCCTAACATAGTTGCAAAAAGATATACTGGATATTTCATCAATGGATACCGATTTCATACGATGGAACGAGATAGTCGACTCAAGACTCAGAATAATAGAGTGACTCTGTCAGCCACAACTGATAGTTTTGCTAGTGCTAGAGATTCAAATCCTATCGATGGAGAGGTTATCTATTATGGATCTATTCAGGATATTATTGACATTGATTATTGGGGTTGTTTTAGTGTTATACTGTTTAGATGTGATTGGTTTCATAATGAAATAGATGAATATGGCTTGACTCGGGTATACTTTAACAGATTATGTAGTGTCGATGACCCTTTTGTATTGGCATCTCAAGTGCATCAAGTTTTTATGTGGAGGATCCAATTGAGAAAGATGTTTATTACCCAAGAAACAAAGTCCCTATTGACTTGTATGATTTGGAAGAGGAAAATTGTGATAATATTGCAGACACATTTTGGAGGGATCTTGATGATAACATTGGTTCGTCAATTAGTTTACCCAATGTTAATGTTATATGGTCCAGAGAAGATCTACCTAGTGATGTCATTGATATGCCATCTCATGCAGAACTTTCACAAGATACAAATATAGAAACATCAGAAGAGGAGGATGATATTGATGATACTGATTGGGATTGGATGGATGCTGATGATTGAAGAATGTGCTTCTGAACTTTGTTTTTAAATATACAAATATGAAAACATCAGAATAGTTCTTTTTTGCATTTTCTTCTTTTCTTCTTTGTACCATCACTTTCAAAGAAAATGGAAAAGGATGTTATTTGATATTTCTTCTTTGACTATGCTGTAATTTTATTTGAATTTTATTTTCTTTAACTGTTATGTAATTTTGGATCGTAAATCAAGTATGTTTCTTCATGTCAATCTTGATTTAAAGTCTGATGAGTGTGATATGCATTTGAAAAAATGAGTAGTTATATTCCTACTTGTCCTCATAATGTTGATACAATTTAGCTATCGAAGGAAAGAATATTGAGGCTCCAACTGTTTTATGGTTTATCATCTTGACAAAGTTTGATAGTCATGAGACAAGAAGAACGTCCGAAACATATACTGATTTTGGCTCTAACTATTTATGTTGTATCATCTTGATAGATTTTGATAGTCATGGGACAAGAAGAACGTTCAAGACAAAAGAAAAAAATAAAAAAACTCTACATGCATTAATACTGGAACACTTGCCTCTTTGGCATATCAAAAAAAGTTATCGCTGACCAGAAAATTAAATGTTCCAGCTAGCTGTATACGGTCAAGTGAAGAGCATGAGCTTCTGCCAAATTTAGTTGAAGACCATCAGATACTAACACCACAAAATTCAGGTGTAGTAGCCTATATGCAAAGCGAAACTACCACCCCTACAACAGATTCATTAGAGGAACAATNGGAACAAATGCAATTGAATTCTACAACTGTTGATGAACAAGAACAATGTGAACAGCAAGGCAAGAATTTTCGTACAAATACTGATTCCTTTTCAATTATAAAATTGAACTATATATAATTTTATGGTTATCTATGGTTTGTATTATTGTAGGCGATTCTGCTCGAAAAAGGAAAAGAGGTAAAACAAAGATGCTAAGTGTACATGGAAGGTGTGAGCGGAAATTGATCATAGTAAATGAGAACAATCAACCTATTGGTCCTACAAAAGATGTTGTGGCAGAATTGGGTAGTTTCCTTGTCACTTTAGCAAGGAATGCGAGTCTTTGCCCTCTTGATATATTTGATTGGAGAAAAATGGACACAAAAGAAGATTTATGGGCGTATACCAAGGTTTGATGTTTCCAATTCAATTTTTGGTTGAATAAATTTAATAGTTTTTGCACTAACCCACTAAATCAATTTATAGGAGAAATATGATATTCCTGATACTGCAAAAAAATGGACTTTGGATGCAATTCAAGCTGCTTGGAGAAGACAGAAGAGCAATTTGAAAGAACACCACTTTGACGCCTATGCGAATGATGAAATTCGAATGCAAAAAAGGTCTGAATATATTCCAGCATCTCAATTTAAGGATCTCCTCAAATATTGGAACTCTGAAAAGTTCCAGGTAAGTTTTACTACTTGCAACAACTAGAAACAAATGGTACAACTGAACTGAACTCCTCTTTGTCTTGTCTTGTTGAATTATTTATTTGCAGAGAATGTCCAAGACCAATATTGAGAATCGAAAACAATTGAAGAATTCACACACTGTCGGCAAAAAAAGCTTTGCTATAGTCCGCAATGAATTGGTGTAATTTTTATCAGTAAATATGATCATATTGTCATTTTTAAGAATATTTTTGATAACCACTCTTAATGTATCTAGGGAAAAGAGAAGAACACTTCTGACCCGTTATCACTACGAGAGTTCTTTGTGGCTACAAGATCAAGAAAACCTGGAAGGTCATAGAAGGATTCTGATGAAGATACAACTAGTAAAATTGTGCGAATTCTATCTAATTGCTTTTTTATTGAGATAAACTATTTGTTCCTACTGAATTTTTATTTACCAGAATTCTCTTTTTAAATATTTACATTATAGGCTGAAATGGAAAAAATTGAAGCACAACAAAGTGAAGATGGCAGCAGCTCTGTTAATGCATTTGCAGCCGTTTTGGGACCTGAACATTCAGGGCGACTTAGATTATATGGACGAGGGGTTACAAGAACTTCTTTGAAAGGAAAAATGGGACATTTTGAACCCTCTTCACATGCTACAAATAATCTGGTCCAACAAATGGAAGAGAGGATGATAAGAATGTTTGAGGAACAAAAGGAACAATTTGAGAGATAGAAGGAAGAATTTGAAAAACAGAAGGAACAATATGAGGAACAAAAGAGAATGATGCGACAAGAAATTCTAGGAGATATTTTTGTACAGTTTCAGCTTTCAGGATTGCCAATTGATCCTACTATTTTAGCAACCTTGTGTGGTCGTTCATGGGGAGAAGCTTCCTCCGCACAAGTAGCTATTCAACCAATCAAAAGGCCATCTTTTGGTAGCAACAATCAAGGTTAGAATTTTTTGAGATTAGTTATAGATTGGTTAATTTTTAATTTGTGCAATTTATGTAATTTCTATAAATCAAGGTTAGATCTCCCAGCTGTCTTCAATTCTGTCAAATTAGTATCCATCAAAAATTTATTAAAGTCAGCTACTTCAAACTCTTGAACTGGATTCACATTGAATCTATCATCTAGATGTCTAATAGCGTTGAAATCACCCATTGCAATCCAAGCACCCTGTTGCAAGCTAGCAATTGATCTCAATTCATGCTATAGTGCTTTCCTATCACTAACAGTATGTAAGCCATACACCACAGTAATATGGAACTCCATATTTGAACCATATTGTCTGGACTCCATGCTCAAGCAAAGCAAGCATGCCTATTTTATTCTGCCTAATGAACTTCATTACCTCAATCTCTATATCATCAGTTTATTGCTCGGTGGTTGCATGACCTGTAGACATGATATGCCTATTTGATACTCTTTTTGATCATTCACCTTCAGTTTTGTATTGGATGACTTTGTGTCTTGAGAGTTCAGCTATATAAAAAGAAGAATATGTATGAAACTAAAAATTGCAACGTGAGCCTGTTAATCATATCATATATTTAACTGGAACTTGGAGATAAATATTCCTTTAAATGATTGAAGCTGAAGTAAAAAAAGATTCAATTCACTGTATCCCCATCTCCGCAAAATAAGTTTAGTAATATTGATCTGACTGAAACTGGCCTTTCAATCTTGAGGCTTGGTCCATTGCTCTGTTGAAGTTTGGCAAAATGCCAAAGTCCCACATTGGTTGGGAGTTAAGTTTGGAGGGGA